AATCCCACCAGTCCCGTAAGACAGTAGGCTGGGGTTCTAAAAACCTGGATGGGGCTACACAAGCTACTTTTGCCGAGGTGTGCAGCAAGTTTGCCTAATTATAACGTTTGCACACGTCACCAGTGTCGTGCTTTCTATGTAGGATACGCGGTAAGTGCCGTTAATTGTGAGTGTTGAACTTTCACCTCTACTACTAGGAGTTAAAAAAAACTGTCGGATTTTTTGAAGCTCTACTCACCCGCGTCGTCTTCCACAATAACAGAACAATTTAGGGATCCTCAATGCAGTAAGAAGAAAGCATTTTTACAGGAAATGCCTATGGCTGATAGTTGCTCGTTCAATGCTAACAATCAGCAGATGAGGGCCTTCGAGGACATGATTGCACTACAGATCCCCGGCCTAACCACGTCAACGCGTGAAATGACGTAAGCTTGAACTTTAACCAATGAGATAAGTCCTTTGAAATGCCAGATATGCTGCGTCCTGTAGGTGCGCTGAATTACCGACCGGCGAACAGGAAGGCAAAATGTGATATCAAGCAATTACCTGAGGGCAATCAGATCAGACAGGGCATCGATTTTCTTTGTGTTCACTTGATGAGATGGTGTTAATGACTTTCAGGAACGAACATACCAGTATAATACAAACAACAGGCACCACTATGGCCCAGTTTTCAAGGAAGCTTACTCATAAGGACGGCGCCAGAAGAGACGAAGAGGCACGAACTCAAATCAACTGATTTACTTTTAAAGGTGCTTCTTCAACACGGAGATTAAATTTGTGCGTTAAGTGTTCTGTAAGAAAGCCCCAAAGGCTAAAAATGGTCCTCGAGTGCGGCAACTTAGATCTTGGGCATCTTTAATGTCCTCGTTCCTCGTTGAAGTAGTCTAACACGAGAACGAAAAACAGTGTACTAACGCCCATTGTCCCCCAAAAGCTAGTTTTCAATAGGCGTCTCAAACTGTAATCCATGGAAAAAAGTGTACTCACACACCACGCTATGATGAAATCAGACAGGGGTTAGCCAGACAGTGCAAGATGACGTGGTCGTGGGGAGTAAAAGTCCCCCAAATCAAAGATCTCCTAATGACATACAAACAACACCCTGAATGACAAAACTACCCTTCCTATAGAGTGTACGAGGGAA